TTCAGGCATTATTCCTTTAAATAAAATTCCAAATTTGACGGATCAAAAAATTAATCACAATTATGCATGAGACCTCTATCTGGATCGTTAAAAGGGTTTGAATAAACACCCGATTTACATGAATTCACACAAACAAAATTTATTTTCACACACAAATTAAATTTATCATAAAATTAATCAAAGTGAACTATAACAAGGTGTAACAGGATAATGGCCACCCTATATATAACTTTTAGGCGCTTATCATATTCAATAAATATCTATGTGCGTTTATCAATACGAATAAATGCGGACGATGACATTGACGCTCGAGCTATTAAAGCGTATAAATGTATGCAAGGCTAAATTCTTGAGTTTTATAATTTTCTAAGATTATTTGCCGTTTTGGGATTTGTTTAATTGGAAAATCAACGAGTTCGATACCCGTTGGTCATTTTATTTACCTAATACAATTAATAGAAGCCGTTATTACCAACTCATTTGAGTAATTTATAAGTGCATAATCTGCACAAAATTAAATATCAGGAAGTCCACATATGGACGTGAGTATGCTTACTCATTTAATAATCAATGCGCAATTACTGTAATTTTAGTTCTTGAGTCACGGAGTCGAACCATAAGAAATCCACCCCTTGCGGAGTAACGAACATAGTTCTAAAGGGAGCCCTCGTCAGAAAGATAAGTCTTTCACCTCGTCTTTCACCTACCATTCACTTATCACTTACACGCATCATCTCATATTGTTAATTGTCAAAATTGTTATCACTAACTACATTATTGTGTACCGATCAGTGTTTAAAATTTGCAAGATTATACTCAATTCATTGAGGTGGCCAGTGGAAGGCGCTTTCCATTGTCCCTGCTCAATTTCTGACATCACAGAATTGTTTTATTATTGCTACTGTCCACTGTGAATACCTTGCCTCGAGATTGCCATCCTCTGGCCTCCATTCCAACAACGAACCCCAATCCTTCCAATTAGTTGTACCACGTTTGCATTTGTTACACGAGGCTACAAAAAAAGTATTGCACCGCCGCGTGGTTACAAAGGTCCGTTTACACACCCCGCATAAGTGTTCCATTGCAATTCATCAAAATAATGGAATTTTAAAACTACTTAGAGTTTTCTGTCACAATCCCAAAAACCGGGAAAAAAACACTAAATGCGAATTAGACTGGCTGGCCAAACACACAACACATGAAACATGGCCGTTCGACACAGTAGACGACAACTTCAACAAACTGTTACGCCCAACTTTTACGTCTCCTCTAAAACTGTCACCTGAATTCGGCTGATCTTCATAATAATAATAATATATTTAATGTCCAACAGAAAAAAAAAATTTCCAATTACAAGACAACAACAAATTATATAGAGTACAAAATAATATAAAGAAAATGAAACGAAATTCTAACCTCAGTGTGAACATAGTAGTAGGTAAAAATCCTTGAATAACAAAAAAAGAAAATAATTAAATTAAGAGATATACCAAAACATGAAATGCAATCTAAATGGTAAACAAAATTTATTAACTAACACGTAATATAACTAAACATTTCGACTAATGTGGAATGATATATGTCAATATTTGGGCAAATTGTATCAAATAATTTACATGCGTTTACAGTAGGAAATTTCTATAAAATATTTGTGCGAGGTGTAGTTCTAGAGAATGAGGCACTGAAACGAGTATTGTATGGAGGAATATGAAAATTAATGGATGACAACAAATAAGGTGCATCCAATTTATTGGCCCGTATGAATAAAAGTGAGCAAATGCTTATACTTGCAAAATTCAAAGTAAATACTCGTAAGTGCCCTTTCATACTGGTTTGTTTAGCAGCGCTGCACTGTGTTCTGTCCTGCTGCTTAGCAGCGCTGCTAAGCACTTAACGAGTATTTACTTTGAATTTTGAAGTATAAGCATTTGCTAACTTTTATTCATATGGGCCAATGTGTATAATGTTATGCAGAAAAGTAACCTTCCTCCTGCTTTCGAGGGAACTAAAGTTGTATTTAGATAGCAAGAGGTCATGGTTGTAACCGCGAACAGGATTAACTCGTTCCTCTTTAAAATACAGCATTTTTAAGATCTCCTGACTATAAGTAAAGACTTTTACTTGACGAACATTACGCAACTTAACGCCAGACGCTTGTAAGATTTTAACGAAAAGCGTCCCAGTTTTCAGTATTTAAAGTTCGTCTCCTCCTTCTCACAATTTGAAAAACTTCATCCAAGTAACGGAAGGTAGCAACACGACAACCGATAAAAACTCCTTTTCTTGACGCTCCTTAAGTTACGTATCAAAATTTCACGCGAAATCTCTTACCTCAGATAACCATTTTCTACGAAAAGCACGCAGTTATTTTCCCCGATAAAATGCATTCTTATTGCTAATACCTTATATCACCCTTTTGACAAAAGTAACCAAAGTGCCTATAATTAAAACAGAACTGTCACTTACATGTAAAATAACAACTAAATAATAATAAACATAAATATAATAAATAATAAAACAAAATTGATAACAAGAATAAGCGATAAATTGCCCGAGTTTTAACAATTCTAGGAAACAATCTTCTACCAGGAATAATACACCACTTGGTTTATTAAACACGTAATAATCGTTCCGTACTTAAACGTAAAACCCCACCAAACTATTGTCAATAATAAATTACCGTTTCCCGAAATCGTCATGAAACCTGTACTTTTAGTATGCCAGGAAATTTCAATTTTCATGACGGTGTGTATCGTCGCTTTGTGCTGTTGAATATACCCTTAGTTTGGGTAACTGACAGAATGCGTTCTTCGTATGTTAGTAGTTGGTACCATTGGTATTGAGAAAAATATCACTTTTACTTTCGTCGTTGAAATTATTGCGAAAGAGGGTGATATATCTGAAGTAGAGGATGTATCTTCTTGAGATTATGCCATATGCTTTAATTTAATTACCTATATCGGAATCCGAAACCCATTTACTAATGAGTTTTTGGAAGTATTTTTCGTGTAACCACTCCTATCGATGAAGTACCGTTCTCTTATAAAATGCTTAAACGAGCTCACCAATCTATGATTGATATGTCTGCTTAGCTGGAACTCATCTAACACTTGGTTCTGCAATGCAATGTGTGAACTTTCGTAGCAGCTGCCAAAGTGTAGGTAAACGCTTTTGCTGTACATTTTTGCTACCGTGGTGACGAACTGCTCTGCAGTTGATTACATGAAATATCGAAGTTGCTAATGTCCAATCAACTATAAACTGTCTTTTGCCTTTGTCGCTAATTGTTAACGCAAGTTAATTCAGTACGTTACAGTTGTAAATGAGATTAGATTAAGTTATAGCGTATACGTATTCAGCTGTGCTGAAAATTTGCAAAGTAACCTTGCCGAGAAGTGCTAATTTACTGCTTAATGCAATTAAATATCTTTTGTGTAGTAGATTCGTTGCCAAGACAAAGTTTGTATTCTTATATTATTTTTAGTTTATATTTTTATTTACTTTTTGGCGTGACTTGTGCACGCCTGGCGTCCAAAAATTATATGAGCTTTGTCAAACCTCGGTGGTTGCTTCACTGGAAGACCCGTTTCCCCTAGCTAGCCGTGGTCAATTCCCTTTTCCCTTTCGAAATTCGCTGCAAGGGACATTAACGCTGTAGCAGACCCCTTTTCCTGCACGTCCTTTGCACGTTACAGTGGTAATGTCCAAGGATACTATGGTAATGTCTAATGACTCCTGTCATCACCGACACATTAATATTATGACTTATGTATTGCTCCATTTTAAGTTTTGGATGTAAAGGACTTATTTACATTTATATTAATCAAAAGTTTTATATTAACGTTGAAACTTTATATTAAAAAAGACGATTTTACTACTTGACTCGGAAATTAAAGTAGTCGGCCCTAAAGCAACCGGCGCGGCGGTTTACGGGCAATTCGCGCCCGGAGAATTCGTCCCGACACAATTCGCTCCCAGGGCAATTGGCGCCCGAATAATTCGTTCTTAGGATAGATAATATGCTTCCGGAAAATTCGCGCCTAAACTAATTCGCTCTCGTAGAATTCTTTAGCAAAGTATTCGTTGGTTTATCTTATAATTTTTAAAGCTTTCTGCCAAAGGAGTGGTTGGTGTTAAATGTTACCTAGGTACAACGTGTGACTGATGGAACAGCTTTTTCTTACCAAAGAATTCTTTCAATCCAATCTTAGGTATCGGTAATGACTTTCTGCTTCTGGCGGTCAATGCTTTGTCAATTGTTTACGTTAGAGGTCAAAATGATGACAGTACCTAATCTCCAAAATTGCGGCATTACGTCTGTTAAAGATATTAGCATATAGATACTAATGTTACTATGTTCTTCCACTCATCTAAGTTGCAAATAAAAGTCTGTCTTAAACGTTTCCTGCAGTAGTAATGAAAACCAGAAGTTTTCGAATAACAATTAGCAACCTAAAAACTGTTTTGGGGATGGCTATTATAGCTGCTTATAGGAACCAGTGCACCGGTACAATTTTAGAATCAAAACAATACCGTTTTTATTTCCTGCCTGTTGCGAAATACTTATAGTTTAGACCAACCACGCATACTGCTTCTTGCAAACATCAAAGGCGCCGCGATTTAATTTTAATCTCCATATTCCAATCTTACACGATTAGTTGTGCTACTGAAACGTAATCCCCGATAGTTTAACGCCCTGTTGTAACAATTGGCCTATATCGCTAACCTTAAAATTTATTACAAATTTGTCAATCGTTACGATACTCTCTACAACTGCTGCTGTAATATTGAATGATAAGATAAATAGCACCAGAGTATAAACCAACAAAAATCGACGTTATCGCCGTGTAATAAACTCATTACGCTGCCGGCGGATTTCTAGTTTATAATTAGCCTTAATAAAAATACTATCGAGATCGCATTATTATACCAACAATATTGACATTGACATTACCAGTTCGTTCGATACTTATTAGAAATAGCGATTCCTGTCGCGAATCAAAAAAGCGACTACTGAATGTACGTACGCGAGACGCGAAGACTTGCAGTCTGAATTCATACAGTAAGCTAGTTGGATGTTCATAAAAAAAAAGTTAGTACTAACAGAACGTTCCTTTGGTAAAGCCGCGTGTGATAATCCGTTATATGTTGTGTAATTAATTAGTGGATTGGTTTATTGGCCCCGTTGGATGCACAATCGATTCTTGCCAAAGTAAGTTTATTTTCGGACGCTTGCAAATTAAAAAAATAGGCGTCTACACATTCTAATATAAATTTGGATTTCGTAGATCGTTTGCCAAAAAATAAATTTTTTTCGAGAGATTACGAATTCGATCCACTTAATACCAATACCAATTAAGGAAAATATGCACCAATTAAAAAATTTAAATTCCTGACCTAATTTTTAATTGATACATGCAACAAAGTACCACCGAAAAACTGAACAGAATGGATTTCCTGTAAAAAGGTAGATTTTAACGTAATTTTAGAAAACGACCTTCGCGTTTTACATTCAAAGGTTTTTAAATTTATTGCATCCTTGCTGATAACAAACTAAGCGTAAATTTTAAAATAGGAAACATTAATTTATGACTAAACAAATTTGTGCATTATTTAAAGAAACTGGATTCCTCTTATTCATTCATTAATTCCCATAGCCTCGAGCGATGGAATTTAAGACACGCAAATTTTAGGCTGTTACCAAATTACAAAAATCACTTGAAGATGACACGAAACAGTTACTCAATTTTCTAGAGTGGTTTCCTGAATCCCCCACAGGCCCTACACGAAATTCGGTCATTACTGTTCGGCTTGTTCTTGATGCTTGCTTTTGTTGGTAAATTAAATTCTTGGGCGATTTATGTACGAAATTTTCGGAGTGAAAAATGAAACGATTTCCTACTGGCGCCTCATGTTCTGTTTTTGGCAAAAAAAATTATTTATGACTTTTCGTTTATTGTATTTTTGTTTATGGCCAATTGCACAATGCACTTATCTTGTTATTTTCATTGAAAAAGCAATTCTAAATAATATACCACCGCGATACAATTATTATACTATAATAATACCCAATAATGCAATAATTTGCAAACGGTATTATACTAACACCACAGATTTGTCGCTAGACCCATTAATTTCATATGAATATTGAAAAAATCGATAAACTGTGGTGATGTTATTACGTGATTGTTAATTTTCTGATACTGTAAAAAACAATCATCTTTCTTAATGTGGGCTCCAAACTATTTAAATTAAAAATAAAACATTCACGATGTTGGGGATAACTCAAAGTGTCTATTTTACGAGAAAGCGTTGAAAGAGAAGAGATTTATGCTTTTTCTGTTGCTACTTTTGATATTTATTTCAAAAATAAAATCTGAATCAGAAAAAATAAAAATATCGCAAAGATCAGTGGCACCAAATTTTCCTCTTTTTTGTCGCTGATATTTTGGCGGTCATTTCTTGTTTGAAAATCAAACTTAAGAAGGTACCATCAGAATTAAATAGGAATATCCCAAAAATAAGTGACGCCAAATTTTCCACTGAGTAATTGCGAAAAATTTTGGCGCTCTTATAGTTTTATTTGAAAACGGATGCCTTGGTAATAAGTGGATATAAACTTCGCAAGGCACAACCAGAATTAAATAAAGATTGTCCAAAAACAACTGGCGCCAATTTACCGTTTTTAGCTTCCTAGATTGATCATTTCCATTTTTTTGGACATGTCAAAATTTCATGAAATGTCGACATTTTAGATCATTTTAAGCAACTTTAAAAAAAAAATGTTTTCCCGTCTGTATGTACCTATACAAGGTGGCAATTTGAAAACTTACCACCCCCATGTCTTAGTAAATAAACGAGATATTTTAAAAAATCAATCCGTTTCGGTAATTCGGGGGGAGAATCACAATGATATTGTTGGTGATGCACCCCCTCCAACCCCCTGCGCCCCAGCCACTCCAACTTTTAAATCTTAAATAGTGACCCCCCCATGTGTGATACGTCGTTGGTAAGCTCTGAAAAAATGAAAGACATGGGGGGTGGTAAGTTTTCAAATTGCCACCCTGTATACGTATTTACGCTGGCAATTTTCCGAGATAAGACTCGATAGATTTTGTTCAAATTTTGGATACGTATATTAGGCATACGGAAACAAAAAAATAACGGGCTGGATTTTTGAAAAAAAAATAGATACACCGAAAGATATGCGCCCTCGTATGCGCCCTCCAAAAATAATCTTTAAATTGAAATCAATTTTAAGATGCTAATAAAAATCACATTATAACTTGAATTGTTTAAAACCAATATGAAAAGAAATACAGTATACCTAAGATTAAGTTTTCACACACGGCAAAACTTGAATTGTCAATTATTGTTCTTACAGTTACAATTTGTTTAATTTAAACTATCTACCAATTCTAATTTATTTCATAATTTTAATTAAAACTTTTTGTCATTTGTAACTTGTTAGGGGGCTAACACAAAATGTTACCTATTACCCATAAATGAATCACCTGGTATGTTATACAGTGTGTTCGAGATAATGGAGTCGCCTCAGTATCTTTTTTATTTGACGCAATTCGAAATGGTCAAATATACTCAGTGACATTGGAAATTGCAACACCAAGAAGGAGTTGGAATTTTTTGACCAAACTTGGCAGAAACGTTTAACTACTAAAAGGTAACAATTGATTAAAATTTCATTCATATGGATCAAGTGGTAATGGCTTATTTGACAGTTCTTTCATTTTTTTCTAGTATTCTTATATCGTGTACGTTTTGCGAGATTTTGTTCAGTTCTTATTGTTTTCGCTTTTAATCGTTTCTTTTGAGGCTGTGATCATGCCTAGATACGCCAAAGTGGAAATTACTGCGAATTAAGAGAAGTTGACAGGTGTCGTATTGTTGGTTTGGGCGGAGGTGGTTTTTCGTTCACAAAAATTGCAAGTCACCTTAACCGAAGTCAATCCACCATGATTCGTTGCAATCGGGCATGGATTTGGGAAGGGGCAGGATCGTCGTAGAGAGGAAAGGGAGGGGGCAGGAAAGGGTGGGGGGCGAAAAAGAACAATTGAAGTGCGGGATCTTATGGCAACAAGAAACCGATTCTCTAGTACCAGGTCAATTGCCGATCAATTGTTAGCTAACGAAGGTCGTCCTGTAACACTTCGAACGGTTTACCGCAGAATCAGAGCTTACAACTTGCAATCCTATCGGCCACATCTTTCGTTACCATTAACAGCTCAACACCGCTAGCAGCGTTTGGAGTGGTGTAGGTTGCGACTGCACTGGAACCTAGAGTAGCATTGGGTGGTGTTCAGTGATGAATCCCGATTTTGTTTGGGTATGCATGATGGCCGTATGAAGGGCAGCCGAAGACGTGGGGAACGTCGCAATGTTGAATTTTCTGTTATGAGGCATGTGCACTAAGCTGTGGGGACTATGGTATGGAGTACTATAACTTATGGGAGTAGGGCTCGTTTGTTATTCATTCGAGGTAATATGACCCCCCCAGCGATATGTGGATGACGTGATAGAACCCGATATTCTTCCATCTCTTCAGCAGTTGGAAGACCCACTTTTCCAGCAGGATAATGCCCCTCCCCACATTGAAAGACGTTCTATGGACTTATTTGCACATGATAATGTCAATTTCTTGCCATAGCCACCCAGATCTCCCAGTATATCGCCTATCGAGCAAGTTTGGGACATTATGAAGAGAAGACTGATGAACTTACCGCATCCTCCGCAGACGCTGCAAGCTCTACACAATGAATTAGAGGTTACTCACAGTTGCTTGGGACACAATACCTCAAGAGGAAATCGGCCGTCTGCTAAAATCGATGCTACGAAGCGTGAGGGAGTGCGTAACCAATAGGGAGGGACTACTATTATTATTAATAAAAATATGTTTATATTTCATCCTTTTTCTTTTAAATTTTAATCAATTGTTACCTTTTAGTAGTTAAACGTTTCTGCCAAGTTTGGTCAAAAAATTCCAACTCCTTCTTGGTGTTGCAATTTCCATGTCACTGAGTATACATATAATTTTGTATCACGATCTATCCGATTTAAATTTCCAGCATCACTTCCGGTTAAACCGGAAATCGATGCAACTTATGCAATTTTTTAAAGATCTCTGTAAAGAGCAATTCTATGCGACATATAATATGCATATGGCCGATATACAAAAAAAAATGAAGAAATTCATAGCTAAACATAACCCAGCGCGCTTAATTAAACTGTTCTTGACCGAAAACGACTCCAAGTTATGCGACGGAAACACGCGTATTTTACAATGATGTTTTAACGTTGTCTGGTTGCACAATAATCTCCTTATGGTGAAATAAATGACATTTCCAGATATTAATCGATTCCATTGTAAAACTCACATTTGAGTTGAATTTAATAATTCGCATCCGAAAGTTTTCTATTATGCGCGAAGAACACTGACTTTCGCTCTTGATGAATTCTGCACAAATTTACTTAGCGACCAAAACTACGTGGTTATTCCTGGATAGTTCCCGATGCGGATTAATATTTATTTTCAAATGGATGGTTAAACTTTCCGTAGTTCGGAGACGAAATAATGAAAATTTTACATTAGAAATTTACTAGTCGCACTGATGATCAAACGCGAGTTGAATAATTTTAATTTTCTGTAAGAACCACGCACTATTTTAACAATGAATCCTCAAATAATCCCGCCTATTCCTAATTAATTAAAGAACACCTACAAAATGGCTTCTTATTAACGCTGACGGCTATCGTAAATTCCCGTTCTGGTTACTAAATCATTCCCAAATACACAAAATAATGCTCTGACGACATTAAAAGATGCAAACGGGACAGTCTTCTATTCTACGGAATGCTCGCTCATTTATTCCACTACCAAATCTCTATCGAACTCCGAACTTTACAAAAAAAAACTCGATCCAAATTTAGACCTACCTGCGTTACAACCCTAGGTTTATTTGGAAAAAATAACTTATTCGTCAATCTAATTAGTAAAGAATTGAAATCAATAGTAAAATGTACGATTTGAATGGAAAAAACTGAACATTACAAGACATTAAAAGCGTAGGTGTAGCTACAATCTACGAAATTTTAAAAAGGAAATCAAAATTCCCATAAGAAGTGCGGGTATTGTTCATTTAAATGAAAAACCTCTTCATCACTTTACATAGACCCCCTTTCTCATGGAAAAATTAA